AGATTGAACTGCATCGAGGACACAGCATCACTTCTGACTTCTTTTTCTGACATCTTTGCAGGAAATCTGCCAGATTTTCATTTTCCCGAGGGAAAGCAGTTTTGTTGGCTTGTTCTTGCCTCATGGCCTCCTCTGATGCTTTTGGTTCAGAGACTTCGACCATGTTGACATTCATGGTGTCTTTGGTGGCAAGAGTCAACTGCTTCATCTGAATCTCCAAGTCTTCTGTCTGGCCTTGAACTGCAGCCAAGTGAGAACTGGGTTTTGTTCCAGATTTTTGGGCTCCAACTGTCTCCAGCTTTGGGCTTTCGACCGCCTTTTGGACCGCTTCAATTGTCTTTCTGGATAGATTCCCAGAAAAACTGCCAAAGAATGGCATGTTGACATGGTCCTTTGTGACTTTGACCATTGTGATTCCTGGCCTCTTCGACTGGCTTCTGGATGCCTCGATCATGTTCACCTCTGAAGGTTCAGCATAATGGGCTTCAGCCTGCAAAGGGTTGGAGTCCACAGTCATGGGGGTCTTGTCAGCAAACTTCAACCTCCCTTCTTCGATAGCGTCTTGCACAAGATTCCTGAAAAGAAAACATTGAGACGTTTTATGGCCCAGAAAACTATGATATTTACAAAAGCCTCTTTTCTTTCTTTGATCAAGAGGAGGCACTTTTACCCCTGGGGGTACTATCATTTGGCCATCTTTTACAAGTAAGTCAAAGATTTCATCACATTTTGTAATATCAAAACTATAAGTCTTTTTGGGGAACCTATCGTTGGTCCTTTCTGGACCAGTGGGATTTTTTCCACTCGAGGGGACTAACAGTTTGCAAGAGTATGGTGGCCCTTGTTTCAGTTCCGCTAAATCGACCTCGCCTTCTTCGACGGTTATAGTTTCATCGAAGGTTTCTGGATCTTCGTCATCCATCTCGACATACGCTATCCTCTCTCTTTTATGAGTTTTCGTTGCCTTGGCTTTTTCAGCTTTAAGGCGTTCTACCTGTCGAACTCTATCGGCCAATTGGGCCATGTCTCTCAGGTATTGAGTGTCTAACTTCTTCCTAATGGAATAATCTAAGCCGCCTGCGGCTATTTCGACTAACTCATGTTCTGGCACTTGTGTAAAGCATCTTGCTTTGAGCAACCTAAACCTATTTAGATATTCGTCTATAGATTCAGTGAAACGTCTCTTTACACTGGCCAATTCTTTTAGGCTTATCTTGGTTTATCCCATGTAGAATTGCTCATGAAACAATCTCTCCAACTGGGTCCAATGATGGATCGAATTGGGGGGGAGAGTTGTAAACCAAGTAAAAGCGTTCTTTGTTAAAGAACTTGGGAAATACTTGATCCTCAGGTTTTCGTTGTTTGAAATATCTCCTGCTTCGATCAAGTATCTCGCCACATGTTCGACAGTAGATTCTGTCGTGTCCCCTGAGAATTTAGTGAACTTAGGGACTTTACATCTGGGAGGTAAGTCTGTTTGTAACACGTATTCTGACAGTGGGGATGTGAAGTTGGGCCTACGAAAGCCCATGTTCATCCCATTCTGCGTCATGATTCTTTCGATCATGGCTGCCAGATTATTTTCCAAACCCATGTTTTGGTATTGGATGTGTTGAACCACTTTGTCAGCATTTTGGTTTCTGTTAACTAACCTTACCTCTGGGGCTATAACCCTAGGTTCTTCGACAGGCTGCTCCAATCGTGCCCTAAGGTTTTCTTCGACAGGCTGCTGGACTTGGTTGATAGTGGTTTCTTCCTCTAAGAGTATACCTTGGTTTCCCCTTATTTGCGCCCTTTGGGGCTGTCGAATAGGTTGGGGTACCCCAAAGAAGTCAGCCAGACGCTTCATTTGCGCTGTCATCTGCTGATTCGATTGGGTGGTGTTTTGTATTAGAGGATTCAACACTGTACTTAAAGTTTGTGCCAACATTTGAACCATATCATGGTTGCTTTCGTCCATTTGTTGCCTCAAGACTGCTGTCGAGGCATTTGTAAGGCCATGTGCTACTTGGGACGTTCCTCCTAAGAGTTGGGTCCTATTTCTGTTCGCCATACCTACTCCAGAACCTTGGAGTGGCGAAGAGGCACTCACTAAAGGGTCTGAAAAAGTGGACGCAGCGTTCGTCAGGCTAGCCAATTCAGAAGTTGGCATGCCATAGAGTGGTTCTCGATTTTGACCGCCTGTCATAAATCCTGGGGGAACATAAGGCCTTGTTCCTGGATTTCCCCTTGGTGGGGGAGTTCCTAAAGGCACTCTGGGGCCAGTGAACGGAGGTAATGGCCCCGTTGTTGTGACCGTTACTGCTGGTGTTGAACCAGCGGTTATCGCTTCACTTACGGTTGGGATAACCGTTGTTCCCACATTCGTTTGTGGGATTTCGTTATTGTTTGGCGGATTCGCCATCACTTCTCTTCTTCTGGCAGTATTGGTATTGCTAGTGTATATTCTACCACTTCTCAATAACATGCAATACTTCTCGAAAAAGATGATATTCTGTATAAAAAGGTTAAACTTCAAAATCAACACAAGGTCCCACCGGGTGTGCCAATTTGTTTACCGTGGGAATTGGTAAACAACCGCTGATCTTCCAAAAGGTTACTTATTTGGTGACTCGCAGGATCGATCAGATTGATCCTAAGACATGGTTGATTTTGGGGTTTGACTAAGTTTGATAATGGTTAAATGGCAAGAAAATAAAGAAGCTTTATGTAAATTGCATGAAGAAGAAAACTTGGTAGAATAAAGGAAGGCTTGAAATGAAGGCTTCGACTGGAAAAGTAAATGAAAAGCAATAAAGTTCTGGAAAATAAATGACTTTGATTAATTAAAGTGGTGTTTCACACATACATTCTCAACAATTCTTTCTCTCACGCTGGGTACTCGAATTTATATGAGTAACTTGTATATAATTGTGAACACACGCGAAAAACTGCGTGAACTACTAATATTTATACTAAACACATCCTAAGTAACCGTCGGGCAGTTACGCTGCTTCGAGATGACTTCACTTGGCACGTTCACAGCGTTCGACGCTCCAGATCTTGGCACATTGCACTTGGTAACCGCTGGGAACCGTTTTCCCTCCAAACGTTTGAATCTCAAACCGTTCCACTCTGAGCAATCGAACGCCTTCGTCGAGAAGCACCTTCGACGTCGAAGGCAACAAGATTCCTACTTAGAAGAAATTCTCTAAGTACATTGCCATCTTCTGACGAGCATTTCGACAGAACCAGCTAGTCGAAACCATCCTTCAGCTTTAATGGCTTATATTAATAAAAACAAGGGTGTCGAATTTAGGAGCCAACAGATAGTCACAAGTTTCTTGTGACTCGTAATTTCTAGTTTCTATATTTTAGAATTTTGTTCTAGATGTGTGTTTTTCTGAAAAGAAGAAAGCGTAAACAAAGATGAAAAATAGTTGGGTCAATAAAAAATTAGACTTAATGATAAGTAGAATAGAAGATTTAGAGCGTAATTATTTCTATTGGTTCAGTTCATCAGTGTAGCAGTTCCTAAAAACTAAAATCGAGAATCGAACCAAACCAAATCAATTTTTAATGGTCCAGTTCGTTTTTAGAATCGAACCAGAAATAATCGATTTTATTTAGATTTAATTTGATTTAAATTGTCGATTTAATTAAATTTTTCTGATCTGTCCACACTCCTAAATATGTCAATTTTGCAACCTAAAATCAAGAGATTGCGACACTAATTTATATTATATTAGATGTTATATTTCATATAAAATATATTATTCTAATATATTTTTATGATAACAATAAAAAAATTATAAGTTATAATTTTGATATTAAAAAAAGTATTTCCCAAAATATTTGTTTTACTTTGCAATTTTTAACTTCAATATATAATTTTAATTATAAAAAACTAAAAAAAACTAATCCAAAATAAACTACATAATTTTGATCCAATCTAAAATTTTAAAATTATTCATCAAAACCAAACCAAATCATATACTCCTATGAAATATATGAAATATACTCCTAATCCAATCTCTCTGTGTCCCAAGTAAAATGCTCTCTCCTCGGAATTGCCCCTACATTGGTATCAGAGCCTGGTTTCGATCCAGGGACCTGTGGGTTATGGGCCCACCACGCTTCCGCTGAGGGGGAGCATTGTGACTCACACTTGAGGGGGAGTGTTGAGAATCAAGTGTGAGGAAGAAGTCTCACATTGATTATAAAAGGTTATATATGAGAGAACTCACTCATCTATCATCCTATAATTTTATTTTTGATCACACAAACTTTTATTTCAAAACTAATCTAAACCAATATAACATCAACCACACATACTCCAAACTTCAATGGTAAACTTTTGTTTTTTCATCGACATAAATATTTAACAAAATTATTTTTTATCAATAATATATTACCTTCTAAATAGGAAAACTTTGAAAATTGAATCTCAAATCTTCCTAATTTCAATGAATCAAACAACTTAAATATTTTCATTGCTACCTAAAAAAAAGGATAGAATAATTCAAAGCGCTCTCCTAGTCAAAATATCTCAAAATAAAAAGACCGTTGGGGTTTGAATTTTTTATTTACTTTTTCCTCATACACCGAGTCTCCAGAAAATTCGTTTGTCAAGCGGGAAAAAAGCAAAACAAAATTTCGAAATGAAAATAAAATTCAAACTCCTTAATTAGCCGTTAATAAAAAAACCTAAATTTACTCACAGAAAAACGAAAAACACTCCTTTTTCACATTTTAACAAATACAAAATTACCCTTTTCTCCTTTTCATACCCTCAAACAAATTTACATTATATATTCCCTCTTTTCACTCTCTCAACTCTCATTTTCAATTCTCAGTTTCTCGCTCTTCTTCAGGTTCGTCCCTAATCGCTTTTTTTCGGAATCGCTTTTTTCAGAATCGATTTTCTTCTACTTCAATAAGAAAACGCGTTTTTAGTTTTACTTACTGTTTATTTTCTTTCAGATTCAAATTTAGCTTTCAGAAACCCTAGTTTTTGGAGCATGGGTCAGATCCAGTACTCTGAGAAGTATTTCGATGATAATTATGAGTATAGGTATAAGCACTGTTTTCGATTTCTTATAATTGATTTTACTTCTTGATTAACCTAATTTGATTGAATTTTTTGTTGGTGTTTGGTTATTTTAATTTATTTTCAGGCATGTTGTTTTGCCTCCTGAAGTTGCAAAATTGCTTCCTAAGAATCGGCTTCTCTCTGAAGTAAGCAATTAATCGAAGCTTTTTTATAATTTGATTTTTCTTTTTGGTTTTTGTGATTATGTTATCAGCGCTATGATTTTGTTATTTAGTTTTTTGTGATTATTTGATCAGCGCTATGATTATTTTGGTTTTTTGTGATTATTTGATCAACGCAATGATATTTTTTTTTTGCTGATCTATGGTTATGTGTTAACCTAGTTTACTGAAATTCGTTTTATGCTGAAAAATTATGTTGATTTTTTTATATTTCAATCTTATGTTGTTATGAATTGGTTGGGTTTGTGGAAGATGCACTTAGTTTTGATGAATATGATTGTTTCATTTTGTTGTGTGTTAATTGATAACTGAAAGTTATTTTGTGCATGTTTGGTTTCACTTTTGAAAGAGCACCAAGGGATTCTGAAAACTTAAATTGGGTTTTATCATGTTTGAGGGTTCTAATTATATATAATACTAGTTTCATAAATGATTGTTCATAGCTTTTGAGAGTTTGGCATGTTTGAGAGTTCTAGATTATAAATACTAGAGTGTTTGATAATTGTTTAATTTGTTGTGGTGATTGATAACTGAGTATTACTTCGTGAATGTTTGGGTTCACTTTTGAAAGAGTACAATGGGATTCTGACAACTTAAAATTGGATTTTGGCATGTTTGGGAGTTTAGATTATAATACTAGTTTGATAAAATATTGTTTATTTTGGTATTTGATAACTGAATATTACTTGGTGCATGTTTGGGTTCACTTTTGAGAGAGCCCAAGAGATTCTGAAAACTTAAATTGGATTTTGGCATGTTGAGAGTTCTAGATTATAATTGATTTTGATAAAGGATTGATTCCATGCTAACACTAGGGTTTGTGGTTTTTGCTTGTAAAATTAATTCTATATACAATTTACACTGAATTACCCAAAGAGATTCTGCAAACTTAAATTGGATTTTGGCACGTTTGAGAGTTCCAGATTATAATTGGTCTTGATATAGGGTTGATTCTAAGCCAAAGCTAGGGTTCATGGTTTTTGCTTGTAATGGTGATTTTTGTATCCAGATTTACTGTGCAACTCATGTGAACACCAATTTAGTTTTACAAAATCAGTTCAATCAAAGTCAGTTTTTTGCAACTCTATAATCAATCAAAGAAATAATATATTGTCTATGATTTTTATGTTAACAATGAAATTTGGTTATCGAACATTTTCTATGAGTTTTTGTATCAGTCAACTTTTAGGGTTGTGTGTTTGGTCCTTGTCCTGAGGGAAATTCTGTAATGCTTACATTTTAAGAACATTTATTTATTTAACTTTGGTTTGATCATACAGAATGAGTGGCGTGCTATCGGAGTTCAGCAGAGCCGCGGCTGGGTTCACTATGCCATTCATCGTCCTGAGCCACACATCATGCTTTTCAGGAGGCCCCTGAATTATCAGCAGCAGCAGGATAATCAGGCACAGCAAAGCATGCTTGTCAAATGATGACGATGATTTTTATTTTTTAGTTCTATAGAACATCTGAAATGTCTGTTGGGTGTACTTCTCGTGTACTGTTTGGTGGATAATATGAAAGTTATTCTGCCCTGTCTGCTAGTTATTCTATCCCAGTGATCTTCTGCATAATCAGTTTGTTTTTGCGTTAATATTCTATAACGCTTGTAAACATTTTCAAGTTCCTTCTTATTATAATCAGAATTTTTAGAATTTTCTTTGTGATATGATAACATTGTTTTTTGTTAACTATTTTTTTGATATAGATAAATGAAAGTTAAGAAAACGATCAATTTATTTATTTTAAATTTTGGTATACGGCTTTACAATTGACTAATCATAGAGGATCAGTTCCACATTGTTCACTAGCAGGGATTCCGGTTTAAAATCAGAGCAAAATTTTGTATAAGTCTAACCGCAAGGATTATTACCGCAAGGATTATTAGCATCTAATAGGATTTGAATTTGAGGCAAATGTTCACTAGCATGAGTTCCGTTTAAAATCAGATGAAAGTTTTGAATGAATTAATTTATCACAAAGATCGTTAGCTCCTATCAAAACAACCTAGGATTAGTCGAAGTCCAATGTAAGAAAGGTCCCATAGTAAAGGTCAGAATCACCAAAGAGGAAAAATAAACCAATGAGGAAGAATATAGGAGTCCACAATAGTACCATAAAACAAGTCTACTTGCATGTTGAGGGAAGAATAAAAAGCTATCTTCTATCATTCCACCTAGTTGTCAAATATGCCGAGACACACTGCAATAACAAGAGATGTGAAAAAGTGAGAAGGAAAGAAAAGAGGATTTAACATGTCACCTTAAATTATACATGATACTTTTGTATTTTATTATTTTCAAAATATTATTTTCATTATTTATATCTAAATTTTTTATATTTGTCAAAGAAAATTTACTATCGATCAAAGTGAAATAAAAACGAAAATTATGGTATGCTTAATAAATTTTCGATGTCGAATTTTGACATATATCGGAAATTCTTTGCATTATCTAAATTTCCATTTGTTAATAATCGGAAATTTCAAAATTTCCGGGTGGAGTATAAAATCGGAAATTACATAAATTTCCAAAAGCCATTACATAAACTGGAAATTATGTAAATTTTCGATAGGTAGCATAAAATTGAAAATTTGAAATTTCCGGAATACCGAAAATTTCAGTTATACTTGAAATTTTCGATATGGATATAGATAAAATTTTATATCTTTGTCGTTCAGAGCCGACAACTTCAGCTTCTTCTACATATTCATGTACTGATGTTACGTAGTTCTTCACCACATATACCGTATGTTTTCAACTGAATTTACACATTTTTATTTGTTTTTCGACCTTAAATAAGTTGATGAAGTTTACTAATTATACGTTGTTGTAATTGGCAGATTTTTGAATCCCGATCTAAAGTTTTAAAACGGGCACAATCTATTGGTAAAAAGCATGGTATGATGTTGTTACAGTTCGTTCTGATTCTGCTAATGGAACCTGAGGGAGGAAGGATAAATTGATTATGGGTTGTGAGAGAGAAGGAAATTACAAAAGAAAAAATAAATATGGAAACACTTTGAAAGTGTTTGTGGTGATATTCCATCATTTGTGAAATATGTGAACGAAATATGGTTAACACCATATAAAAAAAGATTTGTTGCTACATGGACTAACAAAGTCACTCATTTAGGGAACACAACAACAAACATGTACTCAGATCGTGATAATTTAATGTCATTATTATACATATTTATGTTTCGATAGTAATTTGAAACAAGTTATTATATTTATGGATTTTAGGATGGAGTCTGCATATTGGAGACTAAAAAACCTGTTGACTTCAAGTCGTGGTGATTTATGCTGAAGTTGGGATGCTGTGAATACCATGTTGAAGTTGCAGCTAGGTTCCATCAGAGTTTCGTTTCAAAAAAGTATCGTCAATATTGAGCATCAGTATAACACCCCATTTTATGCTAAGTTGCACAATTTTGTCTCAAGACAATGTATACAGCTCATTGGGAAGGAACTAGAAAGAGTAAAATTTGTTGGTTCAAGCAAGGATAAATGTGGTTGTTTCATTAGAGATGTCAGTCCTGATGAGAGTAAGTGAGATTTAGAAGAAAAGTGTGAAGAGTTGAAGAAATATTTCAGTACTTTGGATATTGTGGGTCAGAAGGTGTTAAAGAAAAAAGTTTGTGATCTAACATATCCATCCACAACTTCAATGTGTCCACCGCCGATGAAGTACAAGCCGAAGAGGGGAGTTAAGAAGAGTAAAAAGGGTGAGGAGAGTGATGTTCATCGCGATCCTAACCCGTGAGAATATGTTGCAGCTTCGCAAGGGAGTCAGACTACAAAGAGATCATGGACCAAGCCAATTAGAATTCAATCGTCAACCATGTCGATTGGTAGGCAATATTCTACTAAATCTTCAAGAGATGAGTACTTGTCACAATTTCCCGCTTTCTTTCATCCATGCATCGATGACATTATTGATGTTGAGAATGATAGAAACTGTGGTTTCCGTTGTTTTTCATCTTTTTTAGGATGAAAGGAAGATTCATGGCCTTTGGTTCAGAAGAATTTAGATATTCAAGTCCATCAACACGCTAACTTGTTTTCCAAGTTGTTCTATGACATTGTCTCTACAGTTAGGAATACGTTACAAGTAGAACACTTAGGTATCCAGTATAGGAATAAATGAATGTCGATTTCTGATATGGGTTACCTTATTGCTTATCGTCACTCCTTGTTGGAGATAGAATTGTGCTATTGATGCAAAAGCATGAGAATCAACACATGCGGTCGCTTCAGGCATTTGGATGATTTGTGTAGGAAGTGGTTGTAGTTTTATTTTTATGCATATGTGTATGACATTTATTCTATTTATATATTAAGTCGGTTAGCTATTTTACTTTATAAATTATCCAAATAAAAGTTAAAAAGGAAAACACAACTCTCAGTACTACTGAAATTTCAAATTTCCGATTTTTCTAAATTTTCGGTACATACAAGGATGACATTTTTCAGAAATTTGAAATTTCCAGTACCGGAAATTTCAAATTTCCGATTAAAGACATACACCACGATAAAAAGTGATAAATTACCCGAAATTTCTGGTATTCTATAAATTTTCCGATACGGAATCATAAATTTAAAAAATTCCGATTTTTAACAGGGACCTTATAGTAAAAAGAAAAAGACTAGAGGCTATGTGTAAAAATACTAGCTGCCTATGTGAATGTTTGGTTCCATTTTTAAGAGGTCAAAATGAATAGATGTGAAAAATATGAGTGTTTATTGATTCAGGTAAATCTGAATCAAACCAGAATTCAAATCAAACCATGACATTTGAGTTAGATATTTTTTTAGTTCAGACAAATATTGTTGAACTAATAAAATCCGATGTTAATTTGGGCAATGAATTTTAAGTTTTTTTTACCTGTATCATAATTAACGTAGAAATTAGTATAAAATATTCAACTTCAAAAAAATAAAAAATAAAACATAAATTGTGACGGACATAACCCGGAAAAAAATGGAACTTTATATTATTATGAAAAATTAATTAATATAAATTAAATATTTTAAAAAAAATAATTTTGCACATTTGTATTTATTTATAATGTCTCTGATTAATCAATGTAAACCAACTCTTATTTTTTGGTTTGGTTCAGTTTGAGTTTATCATAAAAATATATAAATTCAATTCAAACCAATCATATGTTTTTGATTGATTTGAATATTAAATTATCTCGAAATCAAATTAAACCGGTTTGCGAACACCCCCTACTCTCTAGTGAATAATTCATTTTGACATGTCTGATTTTACTCACGTACAATTGATTTTGCTTCAAAAATATGTTTTTAATTTTAACATGTTTGATTTTACTCGAGTACAATTGATTTTGCTTCAAAAATATGTTTTATTAAAAATTAGAATTTATAGTTTTTATTTTAAACGTAATTTTATCGCAAAGCCAAATACAAACACAATTCTCTAGCTTTGCCCTTCCCCAAAGGCAGTGCAATACAACAATGAAAGAAATAAGGGTCAGGGTTCTCTCAATGTAAAGGATATTAAGAAGAAGAAGATTATATCAGTTCACTGGAATTTTAGTTCATGTTTTGTTGTGTATATGCATTTGATTCAATTTTGTTGATATACTTTTTCACACAAGAGCCAACTATTGAAAGTTTCAAGAGTTTTAATCCTTTGACTTCAAAATGTTGTACAAGTTCACCTACTTCTAATAAAAGCAAGGATAAAAATATTCACCAAGGGTCATATAGACCATGACAGCACATCAATGACCATTTTAAGAGGAAGCTCTCATACTTTTTTACTACAGCCACTACAATTCCTTTGCCTTTACACATTGTATCCAACTTGTTAGAAATTACAATCATTCTTGGTGAACAATATTAGAGGGTTTGAATGCGGAGAGAAGGAGATAATTGAGAAGGAGAAAAAAACAAAAAATCAGACTTATAATCGGATACACGAAATATGTAACTGGTTACAGATGCTAATAATAGAAAAATAATTAATAGTAGTAACCGGTTACTGAGAATGCGTAATCGGTTACAATAACTTCAAAAGTATATTTTTTCAACTTATTTGACTTATTTTTTATGCATGTAACCGATTACACCTCCGTGTTAACTGCTTACAACACTTGAACTACTCAAATCTCTTAACACACTACCTTATTTCAAGTGCTTCAATTCTTCCATATCCATGCTCATCTTCAACCTTTTGAACACATCATTTGTGACTTTCTTAGTAAAAAATCAGCCACTTGGTCTTCACTTCTACAATATCCTAATCTTAACTTTCCTTCACTAACAAGCTCCCTCAAGTAGTGAAACCTCATCTCAATGTGCTTGCTCTTCTCATGTGTGAAACCTCATCTCAATGTGCTTGTTCCTCCCATGTGCAATTGAGTTCTTAGCAAGATTAATCGCGAAAACATTATCAACCAAGA